TTTTTTTTTTTTTTTTAATTTGCACTCATCTGTGTGTATGTTTCTTTCATTCTGCACAACTTGATCACGCATGCAGGTTCACATATCCAGGGCCACAGTCAAGATTCGGGACAGTTCTGTGCTCCTGTTGTCTTTTGATAGCCATGCCCACCTCCCTCCTGCACCCTCATCCCTGACCCCTGGCTGCCACTAATCTGTTTTCCATCCCGTGACCTTGTCATTTTAAGAACGTTATATGATGGAGTCACACAGTCTGTAAACCTTTGAAATTGGCCTTTTCATCTGAGCACTTTCTAGAACTGCAGCCATCATGCTCAAGTAGTGACTGTTTCTACCATTTGGTCAGGTTACCTACACATCCCGTGCCTCAGTTTCCTGCCCTATAAAATGGGGATAATGTCTGCCTCTTCAGGGTGCTGTCTGTAACTTGGGGTACTGTCACCAGGTAAGGTGGTCCTGCCATGGGTATCGCTCACTCGACTCACTTGCCACATTGGGTCTGAGCCCCTTGCAGCCTTCCTTGGTTAGTCCTCGTAACAAACCCAGTGAGGTCCGGAACAGGAAGCGCAGGTTTCAGAGAAGGCGCCTGAGGCAGTAAGTCATGGTCTAAGGCCACAATACTAAAATAATGCTAGAACCAGGCTTCACGCCAGGCTCAGAGCATCGCCACACCCTTGCGCTGCCCACCGACTACACTAAACTCCTGCTCCAAGCCTGAGCAATTCGTGCCTTCAGAGAGCATTCTGCATTCTCACTGTGCAAAGCACGGTGCCTCTGGGACACGGAGATATATCAGGCAGGGACCCTGCGCTCGAACTGTTTTGTAGCCTGAAAGGGGACACTCGTGCTTCCAAACAGGAAACAAAACTTGATTAGATTCTGGTTGACTTTCATTGGAAAAGAAGCCACACTGCTTGAGGAAATCAGCCAGGAATATCTTCAAGTCATTTCACCTTTTGCTAGCATTTTTCTTATACGGATCCAGGAATTTGGCATATTGGGCCATAGGAATAATTGCAGAATGGAGAAAGACCATCTAGGTTCAAGGTGTCTGAACTTGCTCAGAGGTTAAAATAATCCTGTCCTCTGTGTAAATCTTCCTGTCAGGCAGAGGAAAAATAATTATCTAAGATGGCAGTTTCCTTAATAGGCGAAGCGGAGGCTTAAATATTTATGGCTGTTTGTTCAAAAACCTTGAAATGGATTAGTACTGTAGCATCTCCTTAACCAGTGAGGATGAGCTAAGGCAAAAATGTCACTAACAGATAGGATTTTAGTGTTGAAATGGACACCCATGAATGGGGCACTAATCAGAAAATAATTCCTGAACCTGACGTCGCAGGGGTGCTTTGCTTCAACATAGAAAATACTCTTTGGGGTCTGTGAACATCCTTGAGAGGCTGAGTAAACGCTTCATCTAAATTTAATCCCCCATCTGAAGGTTATTCCATGTGAGAACCAGTCACAAATCAAGTACCTCCCAGCAGCCAAGAATCAGACTGATACTCACATTGCCCACTTTTCCCGGAAGAAAGAGAAGCAGTAGGGCAAGTATTTGCTTCTGGCTGGGGCTCCTCTGAGTACCTCCTGCTAGAGGGGGAGCAGGCTTTTAAAACATGTGCTACGGGGAATCCCTGCTCACAGCCCTCCTGTGGCAGAGGGGCATGTTAGACCACATGCAGGGGATATCACCTGTGATGTGGTCACTGTCTTCTCCAAACCAAGCCCTCTGAGCACATATTCTAGACTGTTACATTCTATACATGAGCAGAGGTTAAGTGACTCACCCACTGTCACACAGCTGGTCACAGGCAGAAGTGCGATTTGGACCCAAGACGTTCTGACCCCAGAGCCCATATAGTCTTTCCACATGTTGCACCACCTCCAGAAATATGAGAAGACTCCCCAAATTAAAGAGCAGCTGACCATGAGCACAAAGATGCTAAAACCATCTTTGGCGTCTTTTAGGAGACGTACAGCCGTCCATCTGAACTGGGATCAGGGGCCTGGGTCATGATCAGACCTTTGCATCTCTAATGCAGCCAGTGACTGGGGATTGTCCTCCAGCTGTTAACACTGGGCAGATCCCATGGAAGCCAAGGGTGAGCCAGCAACACCAAAACCCCTCCCCCACACGTGGCATCCCTCCGTCAGGCGTTCACTGAGTGTCTATCAAGTGCGCAGGCATGCTGGGCACGGAAGGGGAGACTCAAGGGGGCCTGAGAGAAGTGCCCGGAGCTGGAGCCAGTTAGAAGTGGGCCGCTGCAGCCCAGGAGAGAGGAGGGTTGCAAGACACAGGTTTAGAGACAGTATTCCCCTGGGCAGCGACAGAAGGCACCTCCAACACCGCCAAAACCACGAGGGGAGGATTCTGCAAGCATGCTTGCCTTACGCAGATGTGCAGACTCCTGTGGGTCTCAGGGCCAGGTGAGTACAGGTGGTTGGAGGCTATCCTGGGGCTGTGGCTCCTTCATCCCAATGGGAACACAACCCAGTATTGCCCATCAGCAGCCAGAAGTCTGCCTGTTCATGTAAAATTTGCCTCATTGTTTAAAGTTGGCTCTAATGTGTATTAAGAGAAATGGATGCCAGTAAGATTCAGCTAATGGACTATCAGCTGTGACCTCTCTTCTGGAGGGGGTCCAGGGTCACATTTGAAGGGAGCTACATATTAGGGATAGGAGGAGAAGGACAAGGGATGTCCAGAGAAGCAGAAGAACTGTGGAGCTGTAGTCTTGGAAGGGAAGTGCTCAGGGACACAGAGGCAGCCAGAGACTGCAGAGGTCAAGGGGAT